AGAGCAAATGAAGTCATTTGGTTTCCGCGGGCTCCCTTTGCATTCTAGCAGTAGAAGTGAGGCCAGACGAGAGAGTTGGAGAGTAGGAAGGTCCAGCCTGAAGTTGTTCTTTCTTCCACTTAAAATCGATTCCACAGAGGATTTGGGGCCTGGGCTTCATTAACTTTTTTTTTCTTTGAAAAGACAGTAAGATCATAGGAAACCTAAAGGACATTGGACACTGGAATGAATGCTGTCAAAGACGACTCCCTTTACAAAATGCCATCAAGTCAAAGTGTAAAGACGCCAGATAAGGAGATCAGCTTCTAAAGGCTTGGTTGGTATAAAAGATTAATGGTGGCTCTGTCAAATGAATTCATAAGATTTCTGCATTTCTTTCTACTTTCTACTCTCTCTAAAAAAGGTTCCTATCTTTGCAGACATGATATCCTTCATAGTAATAAACTCTTCATTTCTTAGTTTACTATCTATTAGGCAAAGACACTGGTTTTCAGTTAGAGCTCAGAACACATAACATCTGGTGATGCAAAAATGCACAAGATGCAGGTCTGGATAGGTGCAAAGCTAAAAAGAAAAAATAGTGTTTCCTAATATTCAGATCTAGTTAACTATTACAGAAAGGCACTCATTTCATCCCCCAAATCTCCCACACCTAAGCAGACAACATTCTTGGATGAACTTTTCAAGTTTTCTTAAACATTCTCAGTTTTAAAAAAACACACAACTCCTTTCAAGTTAAATTGAGATTGCACTTGAACTCTGTCCAAGAGCTGAGCTGAACTGAATTATGATAATTAGAAAGCTGTGCCTATAAAAAAAAAGCAGTGCAGTTCATGCATTTTTTTTAAAAGTTCATGCCAGAGAATATAAGTTCAATATGTTCTCACATAATTAACATTTCCCACCATTAGCAGCAGTTTTTCAGTTTATATATCAGTAAAAACAACAGCACTCGTCATTGTTGTATATTCCCAGTCAATAGTGTTTCAGTCACTTAACACATACATCTAAACCTGTCAGATGCCTAAAAGCAACCACAGATTTCCCACTGGAGACAACAGTGACTTAACTTATTCATCAATAAGCTGGATTTTTCTCTGAAACCCATTTTCCAGTGTTGGACCCTGTCCCTTAAACTAAAACTACTAATGAAATCCTTGGACAGAGCTTTAATTAATTAGTTTTTAAACTAATGTGAAAAAAAAAAAAGGCAGAAAGCACTGCATCAGGGTAGTAAATATTGATTTTTTTAAAAAACTGGGGGAGGAGAGAGGGGCCCATAATACAGCCAGCATGGAGCCTTCCTTTGGTCGGCCACAAAAGCAGAAAAGACAGCCTCTTAGAACAACCCCCCGCCCAATCCAATCAGAAGAGAGACCAGTGGTTTCACAGTTAGCCAGGACTCCCAGACTATGGAAACTATTTTTTGAGAATCCTCCCAACCATGCAAAAAGTCAGTGAACAAAAGAACTTAAACGCTGAGAGTGAGCCACCCTTTAAGGAAAACCATCCTGAAAACCTACCCCCTTCAGCACACCCGTTTGCTTTGACTAAAATAAAAAAATACATATTTTAAAATTCTCTTATTCTGTACCACTATGCAGTTCAAATGTATCTGAAGAAATGGCTGAATTTCAACGGTGAGTGTAAATATGGGATAAGGTCAAAGAAGCTGGTGATGAGTATGTTACTGATTAAGGATTCTTCAACAGTGAAGAGCTTTGAAATAAAACAACATAAAAACCCACACAAAAACACTCCAGATATTTAGGTCCAAATATTCAAGCATTCAAAAAACTACCCCAGAATAGAGAAAGCCCCCAAACCTCCCAGATTTCATAAAAAAAAATCCAGTAATCATAATACAAGGGGAAGGGGGGGTCCCTAACTTGGTATTTGCCAAAAAGCCCAACCCTGAAACAGTAAGTGCTTAGCATGAACCTGTATTACTTGATGTTATCACCTTTGTGAATATGGAAGAATAAAATACATCACTGATACTGTTCAAACATGATTGGGATCTAATTTCAATGCCACAGGGTAATCTGCGTCTCCAACAGATAAAAAGAAAAAGCACCACACAGCTCTAAAAGATTATTCCAGCCATCGGTGAGTCCACAAGAGCTAAGCAGCGAAGTCTAAGTGTGTCGAAGGGCAAAAAGCTTACAATACTACACTTTCCTTACTGAGTTCAGAAGTAGAACATCAGTACTCTGCTGTTCCAGTCACTGAACTCTAAGGGGGAAACTGTCATGCCCGAATTTATCAACAGAAAGGTGGGCTCTGATTTTCCTACGGTTCGACAGAGAAAGCTGGACACTTGCTCTGGCCAGCATTCTTCAGTCTTAGGAGAAAACAGGGCCCCAAAATTTTATAACTAAACAGAACCAACCTCTAAGCATAGCTCTCACTGAGCAACATATTTTTTTCCCTTTTGTAATCTCTCTATTAGAAACAAGACGAGGTGCCTAAAATACAAGCTTTAAAAGTGTTATCTACCTGCTATCTGTGTGTAAACATGGTCAACTTATGTACACTAGATCATACATGCAGTTATTTGCACCAACTTTCTGAGTGATAAAACACAACAATTTTCATTTGCAGGCAGTATAATTATGCTCACAATTAACACGTAACAACACATGAGATTAGAGAAGAGTAATCCCACAGATGTGCAGGCTCTTTTACAACCCCTGTGTGTGAGAGATATCCATCCATTTCTGCAGCAACAAATCTTAAAATATTGTTAATGGCACAGCTCATTTCTTCAAAGACCTATATAAACAACGTTTGGGACCTACATTCTCTAACTGTCCCTGTACACATTTTTTTACTGAAATGTGGCAATAAATATGATCTAGACACAGATGACAGAACACTGCAAGTTATACACTTTCCAAATTTCCCCCTTAAGAAATGCCCTCTTATACTTGTTGTTCTGTATTGTCAGAGCCAGCACAATTCAAAATTGTTTACAAATGACTGAAGTGCAAGCAACAAAAACACAGAACACTGGTTTTCCTTATGACCTGCTTGTCCTTTCTCTAAATAAAAGGGGATGCCAGTCCCCAAAGTGAGTGTATGAATATAGAATCCATGCTGTATAAAGCAAAAGAGGGGTAGAGAAAAGGGGAACAGAGGAGAAAGCTGGCTTCCCCCAGGCTGTACCCCCATCCCAACTCTCCCTTATGTTTAATTAGTTCACTGCTGCGGAGCACACACACATTGTACCACAATGCAAGAAAGCACCTCTCGGTGAGAAATTCATTTCAATCTGGCTCAAACTAAGCTAGGTTGCCCTCCTCTTTAAATTAAATTTCATTAAGTATATGTCATGGTGAGTCCTGGTTTATGTTTTGGGGAAAGAAAAAAAAAATCTCTAATAATCTCTCAGGCATATTCTCTGGAGTTCTATTTGCTACCTTACAAAAGATCACACAGAGGAGGACTCTAAACAAAGATTCTTACCTATAATATATTTTTTCCTCTCAATGTCAGGGCAAAATGTCATACTGGTTTTGTTTCAAAGTTGTAAAAAAAAAAAAAAAAAGAAAAGAAAAGATATTCTAATATTCTCCCTAAAACTGTGGATCAAATAATAGTTATCATTTAAGTAAAAATAAAATGGTCTGCCTTGGCACTTTCATACCACCAGCAAGAACCAGTAATGGATACTGCTTATCAGTCCATTTTTTTATGCCAACAACAAATAAAAGAATTGTAAACTCTGTTTAAAACCTGAAACCTGAGAGTTCAACAGAGTTACACATACAAAGAAACGCTAAACAAAAATATCTGTGACCATTTATGGAAATAGTGAGATTAGAAAAATAAGCCTTTCCCCGAAAAAAAAAATTATCAACAATTCAAAACCTCGATGTTGACAAAGGTTCAACTAATCCATTTGTCTTTCCTGAGTCACTCTGTAATTAGTTCTACCGTGTCCTTCTAAAGAGGAAAGATTCTTACCAAAGTTGGATCTAAGTCTGGCCCCGTATAAGCATTCAAATGTGATTGGGCCCAAAGATCCTATTTACAGAAGGGCACAGACCCAACTGTGGAAGGGTGAAGCAGCACTGGGCATAACCTGAAGGCTGTTCCCAACCACTGCCTCCAGAGTACCCTAGCAGAGGAGCCCCCCATGGATAAGACACAAGCAAGATCCATGGCAGACTCAGAAAAGGAACCACTCCCTGCACTGACCATGAAGGGAGAAAGGTCTTCCCGAAGGGATCTGTCTACTCAGGTAACCACCTGCAGGCACCCAGCACACCACAAATGAGCAGACCACCTAAACTTCCAGAAACATCCCAGTGAAAGGAAGGGAGGAAGAAACGTGTGGTTGTCCTGAACTGACCGTGTTCCGCTCCTTTGCAATATCTGTAGCATTTTAATTTTTTACACTATTTTCATATCTGATAGGTTTTGCAGATCTTTCTGTCCCAGGACCTGGGCTTCCTCCAAGGCAGTGTTTTTAAAACATGGCCTTTTTACATTACCCGCTGCTGCAACATCATCTGTCTCTAAGTTTCCAGTGCTTACTGAGGTCAATTTTCATTTCTACAAATCACAGGCAGCCACTTGCCTCTGAGAAGTTAACAAGCCTTCTGAGAAATGCTGGTGGCTGGTATTTCATTGTTTCACAAATATTTTTTATCCAGTGACACCACTCAACTTTAAATAAACCTTTAAAAAGAAAGAATTTGAAAGCAAGGAAAATTGTGATCTGGATTTTATTTCTTTCGTGGGAGGAGAATAGGGAGGTGTGAGCCCTCTATTGTTTTCAACTCATTTAAAATGTTGCCTCCGTTTTTTTAAAAAAAAATATACTTTTAAAAAAGGAAACTCACAGAAGTTGAACTTTCTTTAAAGCGGGCCTCTGGACTTTTGAAAACAAGTGTTGCTGCTACGAACAAAGACTAGAAGTACACCCTGATTTTCTTCCCTCCTGGGGATCATTTCTCTTCCAATAAACAAACAAATCCCCCAGTATTTCCTACCGAAGGGAAGTTTTCCAGGGAGAGTCTCCTCCAGGGTTTGGTGGTAACTGCGACTCAGTCTTTTTTGGACACAATGTTTCTGCTGACTCCTGAAAATTTTCCACTTGAATGTGCAATGAAGGAGCGGCGGCGGCAACAGTCCTGGAGAAGCGGCAAAGACGACCGTGCCTGCTTTCATCTTGGAGAAGAAGGAGCGAAACCCCCGCCAGCAGCACAAGTCGGCGCAGACCCTGGGCCGGCCTCTGGGGGCCCCAACGACTGGGGGCGGCCCGGGAGGCTGTCGGGGGAGGGGGTCGGGGGGGTCGGGCCGGCTTCGGGCTCCCAGGCGGCTCTCCCCGCCCGCGCTCCCTCGAACTTCTGACTTCTCCGGGAAAAACGTGAAAACGGCCCGAGGATGTGAGGGTATGTGCGTGTGCGCGCGTGCGGGCGGGAGAGGGGGGCGCGTGGGGCGCGGCGCGACCGGACCGGCGCCTCCAGGG